TGTCCCCTCATTTACAGTTTCGACACAGTCTTGAAAAAACTGCCCGTGAAAAAACTCCCACTCAGGTTCCGTAGCTTCACTGAGTATGCTGATGCGTCCGCTATTAAAACCAGACCAAAAGACACTGCCAATGTTGTAACATAGATCCGCTTGGCAATAGAGAAAACCACGTCGATGTTGTAGCTTTGATGTCATTCAGAATCTGAGGAGATCTGCATGGCAAAAGTCAACACCATCCCTCACTGACACGTGGCAATAGTGAAAAACCATCCCCTACTGAAAAATAGTGCATACCAGCGCCCTTTGGGATTCGTTAAATCAACATCCTCCTACATTTCCATATTCGAGTGAGTTTGCGTAAGTCAGGCCATGCCGATGTTGCTGCCTCGATAGTGCACCCCTCCCCCTCCTGACACGTGGCAATAGTAATCGGCGCCCACCTATTTTTCCAAACCAAAACTCAGTCTATCCTCACCCAACCTTGCGACTATGGTGGGCAGCCGCGCTTTTGGTTTTGCAAGCCTATTACGATGGCCGGTCACGAGCAACACATTCCCCCGACACGTCAGCCGTTCCAGATCAAGAGGAAAGTGCAAGAAATCACCGTGCCTTGTAGCTATGGTAATCAGGCATTGCCGATGTTAATATCTCAATAGTGCAATCTTCCCCTCCTGACACATGGCAATAGTGAAAAACCATCAGCTCTCACAATCGCTATTGTAACAGGCACTGCCGATGTTGCTGCCTCAATAGTGCAACCTTCCCCTCCTAACACGTGGCAATATTGAAAAACCATCATCTCTCACAATCGCCTTGTGGCAATAATGTAATGACATTCGGAATTTGAAGGTATCTGTATGTCAATAGTGCAAAACTTCCTCCACTGACTCGTGGCAAAAGTGAAAATCATATCCCACTGATAAAAACCACTCACGATCGCCCACCTATACTTCCAAACCAAAACTACGCTCCTCCGAGTGAGCCAACTCTCCTCGGTCTATCCTCACCCTGCCTTGCGGCTATGGTGGGCAGTCGCGCCCTTGGTCTCGCAAACCTGTTGCGATCGCGAGGAGCGCATTCTTCCGCCTACCGCCACTCACAATAGGACTCTGGTGAACGTATCACCTTGAATTACACCTTGAGATGGATGTATCTGAAACCATCAGCTCTCACAATCGCTATGGTAACAGGCACTGCCGATGTTGCTACCTCAATATTGCAACCTTCCCCTCCTGACACGTGGCAATATTGAAAAACCATCATCTCTCACAATCGCCTTGTGGCAATAATGTAATGACACTCGGAATCTGAAGATATCTGTATGGCAATAGTGCAAAAACTTCCTCCACTGACTCGCGGCAAAATTGAAAACCATCTCCCACTGAGAAAAATCACTCACGGTCGCCCTGTGGCAATAGTAATCCGCGTCCACCTATACTTCCAAACCAACCCTACGCTCCTCCGAGTGAGCCAGTTCACCTCGGTCTATCCTCACCCTGCCTTGCGGCTATGGTGGGCAGTCGCGTCCTTGGTCTCGCAAGCCTGTTGCGATGGCCGGTCGTGAGGAGCGCATTCTTCCCTCTACACCTGACCCACTAGTCTGGTTATTCTCTTACTCTCTTTTCTTTATTTATTTTATTTTCTTTCCTTCTTTTCTCTTTGCTTCTTGATCCCTCTCCACCTTTCCCCATCCCTCTCTCTATCATTCTCTCACCCTCCTCTCCCCCAACTACCACCACACCATCCCCCTACCTCCCACTTCATCTTTTTCTCTCTCCCACCTATTTCTTTCTTTTCTCCTTCACTTTTTCATTCCCCTTCCCCCCTACTTCGAATTTTTTTCTGTTTTTCTTCTTTCCATCTCTCTTTTGATTTATCTTTTCTCTTTTTTCCAAAAAATTGACTTATCTTCTTCCCCACCTTCTTTTCTCATTTTCTGATTTATTTCATTTATTTTTCTATTTATTCTGAAATTTCAAATTTCGATTTTCTTTACGACAACCCTAAATCTGATTAGGTGTTAGTCTTTCTTGCTTTCGGCACACGTTTTGACCCCGCGGGGGTAACGAAGTGCTGCCGAAATTTTTTGATTTTTTCTTACTTAGTCTTTTTCCGCACACTTCGACCCCATGGGGGTAACGAAATGCTGCCAAAATTTTTGAAAAGTCAGACACTCTATTTCTCCCCACCTCCTCATCCATTTATTTACTTATTTATTTATTTATCTATTTATTTATTATTTGAATTTATTTCTTTATTTATTTTCTGAAAATTTTTATTTGCGCCAGTTTGAAACCTAGTGTGCTTATCTAGATCTCCCCTCTCCCTTTGGCACATTCTTGACCCCATGGGGGGTAGGGACATGCTGCCGAAAATTTCAAAAAAATAAATCTTATTTTTTTTTTTCACATTTTGTTTACTTCTTCCCTTAATTATTTTTATTATTATTATTTTTTTGTTTTTCTCTTGAAATCTCGCTGCTTATTTATTTTTCTCCCGCCTTCGCCCCCTATGCTTGCTATTTTATTTTCTTGATTAGGTCACTGGTACCCTACCCTAACCACTCAAACTTCGGTTAGGGTTTTCTTAGGGTTTTTCTAGGGTTTAGGGTTCTTCAAAACCCCCCTACTCCCCCTTCCGCTTCGGGCACCCTGGACCCCAACCACCCCTCCCCCTTTGACGGCGCCCGCGCTAGCCTCGCTAGCGCCGTCCGCCGCTTTCTACCGCGGACCCCCCCCTACGCCCTCCGCTCACGCGGACCTCTCCTGGCCCCCTCCTGGCCCCCTCCAGTCCGGCCCATCACCTCCCCATGGCCGACGGTGTGTCACACGCTGCTGGGGGCGACGACCACGACTCAGGGCTCCACACCCGTGCCGACAGACCAGGGCCACCAGCCCCAGGGGGATCTGCACACCCTCATCACCTCCCTCCTCGCACCCACTCAGTCGCAACTCGCGATCCTCGCGCCCTTACAGGCGAAGGTGGCGACCCTTGCCGCCGGCATGCAGCAACTCCAGGATGCTGCCTGCCCTTCATCTCGTGGCTCCCAGTCCGGGTCCCCCGTCCTCCGACAGGGTGGCCACGATGGAGCTTCCTCCTCCGCTGCCCCCGACCCGACCATCTTGGTGACTGTCCACGCCCCTAGCACGACGGCCGCCACGAGCCAAGCCCTTCCTCAGTCTACGGGCGCACCCGCCCAACTTCCGGTCACTACAACCACGGTACCACAACCCGCTAGCATGGTCGCAGCTTTTCCGGGTGCCCCGCTTCTCCCTTCCCTTCGCACGACCGCAGCGCCACCTGGCTCTCCCCCCTCCGGGATGCCCCGCGCCGCTTGTGCGTCCATTTCCTCCACTCTTCCTCCCGCCACTCCTCGCTCTATCCATGTCCAACGTCTCGAGGACGAGGTTGCCCAGATCCGGGCCGACCTCGCCCTCTTACGCCTTCAGCCACCCCCGCCCTCACAGGTGGCCGCGCCCTCGGGCGCACCCCCTATCTCCTCTACCCTTCCTCCCATGCAGGCTCGCTTCCCACGCCATGCACCCTATCCAGCCCCATCGTACCTTTTTCCTACTCCCGCGATTGTTGTGACCTCTTCTACCGCAGCTCCCTCGCAGCCTGCCGCAGTTGCCCCCGCCGCTCCCCCATGCGGCCCGGACGCACAGTCAGCTGCGCCCCTTTCTCCAAGACCTGCGCCGACTTACTCAGCCGTGGCACAGGCCTCTGCTCCTCGATCCCCTCGCCGCCAAAACGGTGGCGCACCACTTATCCGTTTGTCGGACATTGCCCTGTATGACGGTACAGGCATACGCGTGTCTCGGTGGCTGCAGTCTGCCACCCTCACGATCCAGCTCATGGGCGCCACACCCGACACGTGGGTGGGTCACCTCTCCACGCGCCTGCGTGGCGGTCCTTTCAACGCCTGGGAGGATTTCTACGCTTAATCCCTTCGTGAGGGTCGGACTCCGACCTTCATGGATTTCCAGGCGTTCCTCGAGGATCGCTTCGGAGACCGATACGACGTGACTGACGCCTTCGAGCGTGTCGTCACTACACGCTGGTCCGACTCTGGTGGCGCTGCCGCTCTGGATCGCCACATCCAGGTCTTTCAGGATGCCCGCCTCACTTGTGACGTGGCGTTCCTCCCCGAGGCTGCCCTTATCGATCGTTTCTTGGCCAACCTTCCGCTCGAGTACCGCTCCGAGCTATGGTGGTATGAGTTCACATCGGCCCCGTAGGCTTACGAGGCCGCCAAGGACCATCAGCGGATGCGAGCCCGTCTACACCCCGCCTCCTCCTCCCAGCCTCAGCGCACGGGCTACGCCTCCTCCTCCTCTCACAGCACTTCCCAGCGCCGTTCCCCTTTCTGCGGTCGCCCCCGCCGTTCCGCGCAACAGGGCCGCAACTTCTCGCGCCGCTTCAGCGCGCTCGAGTATGGTGAGCAGGACGCTAGTGCCCCGCTGTCGCCAGAGGGTGACCATAGCGACGACCTCGACCTCAGCGAGGCCGTTCACCACCACCTGGAGGACTCTACTCTTCCTATGGCCGAGCGCCTCCAACTCATCCTCTCCGCCCTCTCCCGGGCACGCAGCCGCCCCGGTCACGCTGGCACGTCGCCCCCCGAGGTCCCCCAGCAGGACCTCCCTCAAGGCTTTGTCCCTCCTCGCGGTGTCCTTTCCGCAGAAGAGCGCTCAGCTATTTTGGGCCAGCGTGGGTGTTTGCGCTGCTGCTTGGACGGTCATACCTCCTCGCGGTGCCCTAATACCACCGCCCTTGACCGCCACTACGCTGACCTTTCCCGCCAGCGTCGTGCTCAGTCCCCCCCCGGTGCCTCACATCCCCGCGGCACCTCCTAGCCACGGTGCAGTGTACACTTGCGCCCTCCTCAGTAGTCGGCTTTCCGACATCCCCGTCGCAGTTTGCCCCTCTCGCTACGGGAGTTGAGGTCCCGCAGGACCCGACAGAGTGTACTCAGCCCTCTGTCGCAGTACCGTCTGCGCCTCTGCAGACCACTGTCTCCCCTCCTACCCCGCCGCGACTACCGACGCGTCGAGCCATTCGCTCAGCCCGTTGCAGCGAGCAGCTCACTACTCGCGAGGACATTGTGTCCTCTCTTCTCGACTTAAGCATGCTCCAGGCTCGTCAGGAGCGATTCACCCTCCATGTCATTGCACTGCATCACCTCCTCACCATCCTCTCTGACCTTGATCGCACCCTCCGGATCATCCCCGTACGACTGGGGACTTCCACGAGGGTGTATTCAGCGCTGTGGGATTCTGGTTCTCAGGGCAACTTCATTCACCCACGTGTGGTGAAAGAACCCCGCTTACCCACGGCAGGGTCTCCGACTCCCATCTCCGTTACCCTAAGGGATGACAAGACCCAGCGCTTCTTCGATCAGATGGTCACCGACCTCCTCTTCTTCCTCACTCTCGAGCCGATTGATCGTCCCCCGGCGTCTCGTCGCCACCGCTCCTTTGCACATTTCGATGTGATGGAGACGGGGTACAATTTCATTCTCGGCACTCCGTGGTCTCGTCGGTTCCGCAGCACCGAGGCCGATTGGGCTACCAACACTCTCGTTCCCAAAACGAAGTGTGGACAGACGTATCGCGTAGCTTTCATAGGTACCACAATGACACCACGCCCTGATCCTCCTTCCCAGAAGCCTTCCGTGCCCACACCATCTCCTTCTATCACTGTGACCTCGCCTCTGCAGTTCGCCCACTTCATCCGACAGGACGACGTCACCTTCTTTATAGTGAACGTGACAGATCTCTTACACTATGATCCACCCTATCTAGACGCCGAGCTCATCCCTCTGGAGCCAGATCCTCCTTCTATCTCCATGGCTCCCATCTCTACTTTCGTCCCTCCGCCGTCCGTCGAGTCCACCCCGCCGTCGCGCGATGACGCTGATGCTGAGGAACTCGCACGATATACGACTGACCTGGAGCCCGCAGTTCGTGACCTCATTCGAGAGTATCACAACGTTTTCCCATCATCGTTCTCGTACGCAAGCATCCCACCGATGCGCGACGTCGAGCACCTCATCCAACTTGTGCCTGACTATCGTGTTCACCACCAGGCACCCTACGGACTCTCGATCCCCGAGGCCACCGAACTCAAGCGTCAGCTTGAGGAGCTCCTGAGACTGGGTTTGATTAAAACCAGCAACTCCCTGTGGGGTGCACTCGTCCTCTTTGCTCTCAAAGCGGATGGAACTCTCTGTCTCTGCATCGACTATCGCGGCCTCAACCGCTACACGGTTAACAACAGTTACCCCATGCCTCGTTCCAATGAGCTGTTCGACCGCCTAGCAGGCAACCGCTTTTTTACGAAGATTGATCTTCGTAGCGGTTACCATCCGATCCGCGTCGCTGCAGCCGACCAGCCGAAGACAGCGTTCCGATCGCGTGTCGGCCACTACGAGTTCACGGTAATGCCATTCGGCCTCACCAACGCACCCGCTACCTTCAAGACGGCGATGAACGACATCTTCAGGGACATCCTGGAGCAGTACGTTCTTGTCTACCTCGACGATATCCTGGTCTACAGTCGTACCCTTGAGGAGCACCTCAGACACCTCCGCGACGTCCTTGACCGCTTGCGCRRACATGGTTTCTACGCCAAGCTGAGCAAGTGCCGCTTTGCCCAGCACAAAGTGGATTTTTTAGGACACTACGTGTCTGACCAGGGTCTCCATATGGATGACGCGAAGATCAGTGCTATTGCGGAGTGGCCCGCTCCCACATCCGCCAAGCAGCTTCGCAGCTTCCTTGGCCTGACCAACTGCTATAGTAATTTCATCCAGGGATACGCTAGGTATTCGTACGTCCTTACCTCCATCCTCCTCCGGAATAACCCACCCTGGGCTTGGACACCCCTCCACGAGGACGCCTTCCGCGCCCTGAAGAAGGCGGTGACATGCACACCGGTTCTTCACCTACCCGATTTTGATCGCCCTTTTATCCTTACCACTGACGCGTCAGACTTTGTTGTAGGAGCAGTGCTTTCCCAGGTCTTCCCCCCCTCTCCTGATTCCTCTCATTCTCGTATCCCTCGCTTCCCACCACCTACCCCTACCACTGCTTCCCGATTGACGCCCACTCGTCCAGCTACTAACCAGCCTTCTATTGACTATTCTCCTACCATCGCCGAGGACGACACTGTCGAGTCTCGCTCAGGTGATTGTCCGATAGCCTTCTACTCCCGTCAGCTTCTACCCGCCGAGATAAACTACACTGTTGATGAACGTGAGGTTCTCGCAGTAGTTTATGCCGCTCGGCACTGGCGTCACTACCTGCACGGGGCACCATTCACGGTGCGCACGAATAACTTTGTTGTCCAGGCTTTTCTGACAAAGCCGAAGCTCACTCCTCGACAGGCTCGCTGGTGGCGCGACCTATCCGAGTTTAGTTTCACCACTGAGCACATCAAGGGTGAGACTAATCGGGTCGCAGATGCCTTATCCCGGCGCCCTGACCACGACCAGGAGTAGATCCAGCTCTCTTCCATCTTGGTCACCACCGTCCACCACTCGGTGATCGACGAGTTTCGCACTCAGTACCGCCACTGCCCCGACTATCGCGACATCCACGCGACCCTTCAGAGTGGCAAGACCGTCCCGAATCACTCTCTCGAGGACAACGGTCTTGTGTACTGGCACGGTTCACAGGGCACCAGAGAGCCCCGTATTTGCGTTCCCTCCACTGGACAGCTACGTGTCCGAGCAGTAGCAGAGTTCCATGACCAGGCAGCCGCCGGTCATATGGGCTTCCACAAGACGTTGGCTCGTGTGAGCCGCCTATACGTCTGGCCGAAGCGCAAGGACTTTGTGAAGGACTACGTCGCAGAGTGTCCCACCTGTCAGGATGCGAACCACTTATGGTTTGCTCCAGCCTCTTCCTATCCCTGAGGGTCGTTGGCAGTCCATCTCGATGGACTTTATCGGTCCTCTTCGTCCTCCAACCCCCCGTGGTCATGATGCTATCCTGGTTGTCGTCGACCACTTCACGAAGCGTGCATGCTTTGTTTCGTGCCGCTATGCCATCAGTGCACGTGAGGTCGCCGACATCGTGTTTGACTGAGTCGTGCGTGACCACGACTTACCTTTGAGCATCATATTTGACCGTGACCCGCGCTTTACCAACCGATTCTGGCGACGACTCCACGAGGTGTACGGCACTCAGCTCCGCTTCTCCTCGTCTTACCATCCCCAGACTGATGGTCAGACCGAGATCACGAACAGGACTCTCAGAGATATTCTTCGAAAGATTGTTCGTGACGACCAGTAGTGTGATCTCTATCTTGCCCACGCGGAGATAGCCTACAACCACGCAGTCTTGCCAGCCACGGGGATGTCGCCTTACTATTGCGACCTCAGCTATCACCCTCGTGTTCCTGCAGACTTCCTTCGACCGTCACAGATGCACCCCGATACGAGTTGTCCCGCGCTGGATGATTGGGTTGCACACATGACGTCGATCATGAAGACCGCGTATGAGCACATAGCCGCTTCCCAGACTCGCATGGCAGCACGTGTGAACCGATCGAGGATGGATCATCCATTCAAAGTCGGTGATGATGTGCTTATCGACGCCCGCCACTTACAGCTCGAAGCGGACACGCTTCGCAAGTTCCGGCGTCGCTTCTTTGGCCCATGCCGCATCCTCCAGGCCGTCGGTTCTGATACGACATCTAGCCCGATCAACTTCCGTGTGAAGCTGCCCGATTACCTACACCAGGCTCATGTGCACGATGTCTACCACGTCTAGTTACTGCGTCCTTACCGCAGACCGTTTGAGCGTTTCGCTGGACGACCATACGAGCGCCCTCCACCCATCATGGTGGACGGCCACGAGGATTACCTCGTTTCAGACATCATTGGTCGCCGAGTCACCGACGACAACCCTCCCCACGTCGAGTATCTCGTACGTTGGAAGGGTTACCCTGATGAGGAGGCTACCTGGGAGCCCCTCGAGCACTTGCAGCACGCTCGCATGTTGGTGCGTGCCTATGACCGTGCTCGTCGTGCTGGGTTCATTGCTCCTCCTCAACCCACTGACCCTCCTCCTTCTCCCCCGGTTGAGGAGACCGTTGAAGTCGGGCCTGCTTCCATCTGAGGCAGACCTTTAGCAGCAGCCGGATGCTTCTGAGCGTCCACAGCGCACTCGTCGTCGTTCTGCTTGATACGACGATTGACTCTGACTTACCTTCCTACGTCCTTGACTTCTCAGTACTCCATCGACTCCAGTTTTGTTACTTCAGCTCGTCGACGTTGCGACTCTTCCTCGACGACATTCTGGACTTCTCATCGTGGACGTCATCGGCAGCTTCATGGACTTCGTCACGATCAACTCTGCCTACTTCAGACGTCACCACTCTCTTACCACTTTACCCTGTACAGTACCCTTGTTGTGTCGCACGATGGTTTCCCTTTAGCCGGGTTCCTCTGAGTTGGGCTCTCYCTTGGTATACGCAGAGGCATCGGGACCGTAGCGTTGCCCTGGCTTCCCATCTTATGGATCTAGCTCCGACTTCCCTCACTTTAGGAGTCATTTGCATGATTCCCTTACCCATCACCTTTCTACCCTCTGCCGGCCCTCACGCCCTAGTTAGGCAGCCCCGCATGCTTCATCTAGGTGCGCCCAGTACACCACGCTCCCTTGTTCCCTTGCATGGTCGACCCTCCATAGTGGTCACCCTTAGTCGAGCTTTACCCGCCCTGATGGTCTATCTGTTAGGGTCATTAGTTATGTTCGCTCCCAGTTCCCTACCCTCATTGAGCCTTATGATATGTGTCTCCCTGTTATCTATGTGTGGATTCCCTTAGGAGTTTTCGACCCCTATCGTCTTCACCCGAATAGAACGCCCGGTCATTATATTTGTATTTGGAGCAATTTCCAGTCCAGATACGACGATAATTACCGGGCGTTCTATTCGGGTGAAGACGGTAGGCTGCATTCGCCACCCTCAGAGACCATCCCACCCTTTGGTTTGCGACACACTTCTCCTGTGACATATGATTGACTTGTTGTTGCTTGTTGCTCTCAGAATGAGGCTACTGCCTCTGACATTTCTAGGATTTAGTTGTTCTGCTTTTGCTGTTCTTAGGACTTATACACTAGTCAGTTGTTCCCAGACTGAGGCTAGTGCCTCCAACATTCTAGGATCTAGTTGTCACTACTTTCTGCTTTCCTAGGACATGTATGCTAGTTAGCTGCTTCTGCTTTCCTAGGACATGTATGCTAGTTAGTTGTTTCTGCTTTTACTTAGGCTGTTAGCTGTGACATTGTTGTTTTGTGACATCTTATATCCTAGGTTGCATCGCATGGACTCAGCATGGAGCTTGATCCGCATCCTATACTACTCAAGTTTTTTTTTCTTGGGTAGAGTTCCGCTTCTTGGCGGAAGCGTGCTTGTCTCTAGGCGATTCATCACAGGCCGAGGATCGTGTAGCGGACCTCTGGTTGGCCTGTGAGACCAGCCCCTTGGCCTGTTCTCACAAGCCCGTGTTCTATTCGGGGGGCAGTCCAGTCCAGTCCAGGCTGGTACCTCTGTCGGTACCAGCCAGTCCAGTCCAGTCCCGTCAGTCCGCTGGGGTATACCCCAGCCTTTGTCTGTTTTCGAGAGCATTCTACATTCGCACAATTTGGAGTACGTGCGCTGGAGTCTTGCGTGGGAGCTGCACTGTGCTGTCTCGCTCCTCCCTCATCCTCCATCTCCGTCAGCATCCCTAGCGGAGCACCACACCTGGTGGGTCCGCTACACCTAGTCTTCACCTTACCTGTGTTCAGTATCTGTGTCGACCCCTAGAGTTGAACCCGTGACCTGTGTATTTGTAACAGTTGGTAGGTCGTCGTAGGGTCTATAGGTAGCGGGGGTTCGATCTGTAGACCTCTCGACTAGGAGTCTTAGTCAGGTCTAGAAGTCGTAGCTGTAGTTTTCCCGAAAGGTCAAGGCCGTGGCTGCTACAGTCCAGAAGGGTCAAGTCGTAGCTGCTACAGTCACGAAAGGCCAAATCTACGGCCTTCTGGAAGGTCCTAGTAGTGACCTTTCGAAGTTGCCTATGTTTAGACTGAGGCAAGTGGGCAAGTGGTGAGGCAAGCGGTGGAGTCTGCCCGTGCTGAGTCAGCAGTTCCAGTCGTAGGCAGTCTGGTCTAGTCAAGCAAGTACCGCATGGGACTGTGTGCACTTCGGGCATGAGAAAGGGCCAGACCAATGAGCTGCAGCAGTATAAATAAAGAGGCAGCGTCCAGCCATTCATTGATTCCTGCGTGAGTCATGCGGAAGCGCTGCCACAGTGACTTGTGCAAGGAGGTCTGCAGTGACGCCCGAAGACGAAGTGGGCAGGAAGACGGAGCTTAGCTGTAGTGATAGGGTAGAGGTGGCCATAGCCACCATAGCTGTAGTTAGTGTTCAGTGTGTGTGTGTGTAAGTGTTCAGAGAGATGCATGTGGGATATCCAGGGTGATCCGGTGTATGTGAACAAAGAGTTGTGTGGGCGCTATGTCGCCATAGCCAGTTGAAGTGAACTCGTACCTGGGTTGCCATATCTCTGAGTTTTGTGTGGCCGCATGTCGCCAGTTTGCTGCGCTACTGTTTGCATACATGTAAAGTGTGAATGAAAGCGAGTCTGATTACAGGGGAACCGCGGTTACTTATCACCGGCAAGCATGGAACATACAAAGATCAGAAGAACCGGGAATCATAACCTCTTTAAACCTCCACTACCATCGCGGTCCTAAACTGGGGGGAACCGGTAGCAGAGGTTCATGAGGACTACTGGCAGCACAGTGGGGAGAAGCGGCCGAGTGACAAAAATGGACAAAGCATCGAATTGCGGCCGCGATTTATTTCACGGTTGAAACGAATTGTTAAAATTTTAAAAATATTTTTCCTGGACAGATCACGCCAAGTCTACAGATCCTCCAATTTTCAGAGCTTTTGCATCATTCTTCTGAGCGCAAAAAATCACAGAAGTTGGGATACCTTTTCTGTCAGCCCAAAAGTGGTCGAGGGGCAAAAATGGAAAATGCAATGAATTGGCAGGGCACTCATTTGGCGGTCTAAACGTTTTTATTATGATTTCCTGATATTTTTCTTGGATAGATCGCAACCTAATCTACAGGATCTCTAATTTTCAGTTCTTTTCGTTGATTCTTCTGAGCGTGAAAAATCGCCAAGGTTGGCGCTTGAAAATTGCGGGACTGGCCCCGCCTGCGCCCGCCGGTCGCCAACCTACCGTTTTCTGCGGCTGTAACTCTCCGGAAATCCGACTTTAGGCCGGCAGGGGCAGGGGTGGTTAAAACCACCAGTACTTGGCTCAGCTATCAAGTCTGAGCCTCGGCCGACCGGTATGCCAAGCTGCGCTGGGGCTGGAGCTACCGGTAGGGCGCTGCCCGGACTTAGGAAACAACGAACGGAAGAAGGGAAAAAAACAATGAAAAACATCGTCCGAAAATTATTTCTGTTTTCTTGTGGCACACACACACACACACACACACACAGAGAGAGAGAGAGAGAGAGAGAGAGAGAGAGAGAGAGAGAGAGAGAGAGAGAGAGAGAGAGAGAGAGAGAGAG